TGGCTGTTGGTGCCAAGAGTGTTGACCGTGGAGCCGAGCAAACTGAAGCTGTGAACAATCTCAATCTCTTCGCCATCCATCCTGATGCTTCCAATTGGTCCAGTGGTGAAAATTTTTGTCTTCTTGACATTGAGCCTCAGTCCATACTGAAGGCTGCAGTCCTTGGCCCTCTGAAGCAAGTACATGAGGCCCTCCTCAGTTTCAGCAAGGATACAACCCTGATATTAATCTTTCTTATTAATCTCTCTTATTAAACCATATAGTGTTCCCTTTGGAAGTAGGAGTGGTACCCACTTCCTAAAAACATGCCTCTGGAAACTCTATGAATTTTGATAAATGACAATAGTTACCGAAAGGCTTCAGGCCTTTTGCTCATAGGATCGTTATGAGTCGTGCTTAACTCAACAGCAATCAACAACAACAACAGTGTTCCCTGGCTTGGTTCACAAAACAGCTTCTAGATATAGGTTTTGCAAGAGCACAATGAAATGTTCTGGGATTCCCAATATTTTCAATATTAATCATAATTTGTTATGATCCACACAGTCAAATGCTTTTGCATAGTCAATAAAGCACAAATAGACATGCTTTCTTTTAAGCCAGGATCTATATGACATCAGCAATGATATCCCTAGTGCTATAGCCTCTTCTAAATCAGCTTAAACTTCTGGCAGTTCTCTATCTATGTACTGTTCTAGCCAATTTTTAATGATCTTAAGTAATATTTTGCTTGCATGTGATATTAATGATAATGTTCGACAATGTCAACAATCTGTTTTATCACCTTTCTTGAGAATGGGAATAAATACAGGTCTCTTCCCATCAGTTTGCCAAGCAGCTGTCCTCCAAATTTCCTGGCATAGTCTGGTAAGCACATCCAAGGCTGCATCTGTCATTTGAAACATATCAATTTGTATCCCATTGATTCCTGGGGCCTTATTTTTTGCTGATGCCTTCAGTGTCATTTGAACTCCTTTCTTCATTAGCATTGGCTTTTGATCATAGGGTACTTCCCACAATATTTCTGGTGCTCAATATCTTGTGCATCAGGAAAGTATACATTTATGAGTATATAAAAATGACCTCTCTGAATACTTCTCCAACTGCTCTGGATTCCTGTACTCCCCATAAGACAGCACAACTCCTTAGGAGTCATGGGTCAGATTGTAGTTTGGAGAAGGTTCCCTAAGGTTGACAATGACATTGCGATTTTCTTATGGGATAATCTTGGATAAATGAAACAACATGTAGATTATTCTGTTTATTCATCTATAAAATGGAACAGATAATGGTTCCTATTAATAAATTTAGTCGGACCCCAAGGACTCAACAAATAAATTGTTAGAGTTAGTAAACCAATTTCGTATAGTGGCAGGACACAAGATCAATATACAAAAGCCAGTGAGATTCCTTTACAGTAATAGAGGAAACAGAGAATGAAAATAAGACAGCAATACCATTTATAACAGCCAACCACAAATTGAGATATTTAGAAATAAAACTCACTAGAGACCCAAAAGACCATTACAAAGAAAACTACAGAATATTTCTGAGAAAACCAATAAAATACCTAAATAAACTGGAAAATGTTCCCTGTTTGAGTAGAAAGACTCGCTATAGTGGAAATGACAATCCTAGCAAGCGTAATCTATATGTTTAATGCAATCCTAATACAGATATCAAATTCATTTTTCAAAGAGAAAGAAAAGGCAATTGGAAAGTTTATTTGGAGAGGAAAGAAATGTGGGTTATATAGTAATATAACTCACTCATTGTCATGGAGTCAGAATATACTCATAACTGACACCACTACCCCCAGCAGGCTTTTAGAGGCTATAAAAAATTGCATGGAAACCTGCCCATTTTTCTCTCATGGAGCTTCTAGTAAATTCAAATCACTTGCCTTTAAGTTTGCAGCTCAACTCCTTATACTAGTATGTTAATGTTGTTATATACCATCAAGTCAGAACTAACTCATATCTGAACCTCCACTGGACTTTCAGAGACCATAAATAGCACAGGAAGAGACTGCCTATCTTTCTCCTGATGAGTAGCTGGTGGATTCAAGTCACATGGCTTTGGGTTGGTAGCACAACTCTTTACCATTAAGCCCCTAGAACTCCTTACAGTAGTATAGTGAAATCTACTCTCTATAAAATTTGATTTGAAGCTTATGTGTTAATCATAATACAACCTTCCACTGAGAGAACATTTTATAGTTTACAATGCTAAGAACAATGCCTGGTTCTAGTTGACAAGAACCTGGTAGTAATAAGAACAATGGTACAATACTGAGTTAAAATTTCTGAGAACTAAAACAAAACAAAACAAAACAAAAATTTCTGAGAACTCATCAGGTTCTGTGCTAAGCATAGTAGTATCTTACTAAATCATCTGAAATTGCACTTTTCTCCCCATAACAACCATTATATTATTACTATATTATTATAACTGCAACTACAGCTATTTTATTATTAAACTGTATCACTACTGTTACTAAATACAGTATTTCATTCTCACCACTGTATTTTGTGGAAGAGTCCACTCATTTTGCATATGAAGAAACATAAGCTTAAAGGGAAAAAGTCATTTTTGTCCCAGTTCACACAGCTTACAACAATCCATGTCGGCTAACTCCCGGCTCCATGCTCCCTCCACAGTCCACAGCCCTGGCTGGTCCTTACCTGTGGGCTGTAGCTTTCCACATTATATGGCTTTCTGAACTTCGTGTTGAGGATGTAATGGGGGGAACATCCGCCAGAGTAATATCTGTGATCTAGAACAGAGGCTTCGAAACTGTTTGTAAATAAATTTAATCTGTAAAAAAAAAAAAAAAATCCCAGAAAGGGTGAAGAGAGTAGGTTTTTATGTTTCTTATTCTCAGACAGCGACCTTTGTGAGTGAAACCAAACCTCTTTCGCACAACATTTTAGGCCCAGAATACTCGGTCACAAACCAACTTTCATGCTCCCAACTGTAATCCTATTCCCTATTTCCAAGCCATTTAAAAAAGTTTGTTTTCCCTCAGATTTGCTTTGTTCCTTCTTCTGTGTATAAGTGTTGTTCCCTGTGCTCAGAATATCATTTTAACTCTTAATTCATTTTATTTCCTTCTTGTTTTTTCAAGATTGAGCCTTCACTCTTGAGGGAAGTTACAGGAAGCCTTCACTGATATCTTTCAGGCTTACAACTCCAACCTACACTTTTTTAAAGACCTTCTCATACCCTGCACTTACTCTTCATTTATTTATTATGCTATGCTATTTTAAGAGTATCCATTCTTTCTACTAGAGAAGATCAGAAAGATGTTTACTTGTATTTAATTGATTTTGCAAAGGTATTTGATTATGTGTATCATAACATTGATAATGTTATGGATAACATTGAGAAGAATGAGAATCCAGAACATTTGAAAACTAAGGTGTACCTGTTTCATTCCATGGGTTTCTCAATTGCCTGCTATACATCAAAGAGCTGGACAATGAATAAAGATGACAGACCACATTATGCTTTTGAGTTGCGGTGCTAGATAAGAGTATTGAGTATCCCATGGACTGTCAAAAGAACAAACACATCTGTCTTGGGAAATGTGTCACCAAAGTGCTCCTTGGAGGCAAAGATGGCAAAGTTTTATCTTTCATACTATGGACACATTGCCAGGTGAGGCTATTCCTTGAGAAGGGGTGTTATGCTTGGAAAGATGGAGGGTCAGCAAAGGAGAGGAAGATGCCAAACAAGGTGGATCAACACAATGACTTCAGCAATGGGCTCCACTATGTCAGAGAGAGAATGATGGTACAGGATAGGGTAGGTTTCAGGTCTGTTGTTCATAAGGTTGCTATTAATCTTACTTGACAGCACCTAACAATAACAACAACATCACAAAAAGTATTCAAAAAAATGACTGCTTACTGAGGGCCCATGTGGTGACAGACACTAATGGATATATTGCATGCCTCATGTCATTTATTGTCCCTGAAGTCCTGAGCTGTAAGCATCATTACATCTGTGTTAGAGAGAAGGGAGATCCAGCTGTTTCTTCTCGTTGCCTCATGAGGAATCCTGCCATTCCTGACCAGTTACTAAGACTTACAGTTCTCTGTGTGTTGAACAGCACTATCCTTTTAGCTTTCACCCATTAGCCTTGGTTCTCTTTCTACCCAGAATTGTCTTCTGCCCTCATTCCCATGATAATCTTTAACAGATCATCATAATATAGGTTAATATTATTATAAAGATTGGTAGTTTGAGCCTACCCAAAGGTATTTCAGAAGAGAGATCTGGCAATCTACTTAAAAAAAAATAAGTAAAAATCAGTCCTTACAAAGTTTTAATTACAAAGAGTATTAATCATTTGCACCAATACAGCCATATGTTGTTGTTATTGTTGTGTACCATTGAGTCAGAACCGACACACAGTTAACCCTCTAGCAAGTTTTCAGAGGCAGTTAATCACACGGGAAGAGATTGCCCATCTTTCTCCCACAGAGCAGCTAGTGGATTTGAACTGCAAGCCTTTGGGATTGCAGTCATATGTTGTTGTTGTTGTTGTTGTTGTTGTTGTTGTTGTTATGTGCCGTCAAGTAGCCTGCGACTCATAGCGACCCTATGTACAACAGCCCTAAACTCCGCTCTGTCCTGTGCCAATC